CATGTGTTATGAAATTTAATGTAGTGCTTTTTAATTTCTGTCTTCAAATTTATCGTAATTATTGGTTTGAAGGTTATAAAAGTTGTTCTTATTTGTTTCATATGTATTCGAAAATGATCTTCCTTGATTGTGTGCTACTTTAATGGAAAGATGTGTGTTTAAATAAAGTGTGATGGAACAATAATTTTGCAGTTTTCACTTCCATTTTGTGACACTTTGATAAAAATGCAAATTAATCCACAATTGCTGCAATTTTGAAAATCGTCAAATTTGGTTCACCCGCATTACTTTCTGACAACATGAGTTTTTCCCAATTATGTTAAATTTAAATATAATATATTGGTGAAAAGTTTTTGCTGCAAAGGATGTGTGTTAAATTGCATTTAACAGTTAAGTTAAATTTAAACAATTGTTTATTATAGAAATATTATACAATAATTCAAATTTTCATAAATTGTTATATCTTAAAATTGCCTTTATCTGTCGTGAATTAACTGAAATAATTATTAAGAAAACAATTAAAATAATACTTTTATTTAAAAACTATTGAAGATTTTAAAAATTGAAAATTTTTGCTTTCAATTGTTTAGATATTTTTTAACTTTGTGAGTAATGTATTTTTTATACATCAAAGTAAAATCTGTACATAATATATTTACAAGTAGCTTAAAAAAATTATTCAATTGAGAATATGCAAGACAAAAATTTACACAAAATGCAAAAACATTAAAATAAAATTTAAAAAAAAAAGAAATGGACAAGGGACATTTCAAAAACTCAGTTTGTATAACGAAGTCATGAGTATTCGCTATTCCTAAGTTATCGTGTGCTTCCTAGTTAGTTAAATACCACCGTTGCTCATAAACTACATGTTTTGTAATATTTAAATCTGGTGACTGAGGTTGTATTTGAATGATTCAGGGGCTGACCAAAAAAAATTGAACAATGCGTTTACAGTAACTGCTTCCAATATAAATATTTTGGGGCTGTTATTTCAAATTGCCTTTTAAATTTTCAAATGATATCTTTATACAAGTATTACTAAACATGTATACATTTGTAAAGATAAAAACGTTTTTAATTGTTAATTTTTTTTTAAAAAAAGAAAATAGTTGGGGTGACTATTTTAAATTGCTTTTTAAAATAATAAGCAATTTGTACAATCAATAAATACAAATTTTCTTGATCTTGGTGCTAACAAAACACCTTGTGAGGATGACTCTATCTGCATTTTTTACTGTTCCAACCGTTCTTTGTATAAAGCTAGTCTTTATTTTTTCTCAAAACTATACACTTGTTTCCAAAAATTAAGGAAAGATAGGAAAAAATTGAGATTATAAAATTTTTGTCATTGAATTTTAATGATATTTGACAAATACAATCGGTACAGAAGAAAACCAATGGGCTTATTACTTTTTTTTTTTTTTTTTTTTTTTTTGAACATGCCGAAAATAAGACGTTAAGAAAAACATAGTTTAATGAGTTATCAAGAATTTAATGTGTTATTCAATATGGATTGGGGTCCCTTCTAACAGCCATAGAAGATATACATATACATGTACATTTTAATGTTTAGTGACTTTGATGGCAGTATAGCCCATTGTTGAATCAAGGCAGTTCGGGGACCATAAGTGATGCATGATGTGTGTTCAGTGCAGTAGTAAGTCTCTCTAGAATATTCCAAACAATACTCAATCCGGTTCAGATGTACAGAACGTGCTTACAAGTATGTCATTTTTATGACTGTTTCTTGGCACAATGCATTATTCAGTGCGGTCATCCAGATGCTGCCACCAAATCTCTCGCAGGAATTGATTGCAGAATACATATTTATACAACTGATGGAGTTGTAAAGTTCTCTGTTCCGGCTAAACAATCTTCTTTAGTCTTATAGTAAACAAAATGTCGACTTTTTAGTGTAAAGCAAGACCTGCCTTTAACTTTTTAATTGATATATGTGCATGCTCAGTTAAAGATTTGGTTTCTGGTGACGTAGTTCATGAGACATGCACAATACTTTCCTTAGCTGGAAAGATTAGCTGTTAAGATCATCTTACCTAAATAAAAAGTTAAGAATTCTTTTATACAGGGTCATTATTAGACCAATTGTTTTGTGTGGCTCCGAGACATGCGCTATGAAAAATGTGATGAAGAGTATGGGAAATAAATACTTTGGAGCAGTATATGAAAATGCAGAATTAGAACAAATAAACATATTCGTATGATTGTTATAAGGAATTAGATATGGTTACGGAGAAAAGGAGAAGGAAAATTCAATGACTAAGCCATGTAAAGGGAAGGAAGTTAAACAGAACAACAAGGGGACTCCTTAAGGAAAATTCCAGTATATTTAGACCCAGAGATGACCAAGAATTTGATGGATAGATCAAGTCGAGGAGGACTTGAAGATCTTCAGTGTTAATAACTGGAAACAAAAGGCAACTAGTCGTGTGGAATGGCAAAATATCTCGGAGGAGGTCAGGGTCCTTCAAGGGCTGTTGCACCAATGATGATGATGATAATTCTCTCCTTTTTTGAATAAAAGTCTTCCTTCCTGAAGCCTTCTACGTGCAGTTCATTTGAATATCTGCCTTTTACTAAATTCTTCAAGAGAAAGATGTCTGTATTGCGGTTCTATGCTTAATTGTATTTAGCTGCAAATAGCGATCATCTGTGGCACTTGAAGCTCTTAAGTATTTCTCGACTGCATTTTCTGGAATCTCATGTTCTTTAAAATGCAATCCATAGTTTATGAATTACAGAAAGCCTCTCAAACTAACTTCATACATAAAACTGACTAAAGGCCCGTTTCTATTTGCTTAATGGCAGGTGTTCGTAATTATTTAAATAGATGATGTATCTAAAATATGGCTTTGTCAGAATTGTGTACCGCAGCTTCTATTTGTAGGATCAGCAGACGCCTTTAAATCCTGTTTTGGTCACGCGCATTTCATCACATTAAATGACAACAGCTGAACTAATTTGTTTATGACTTTGCAATTCGGCATTACTTTTCACGTATACTGCACAATATTTTTGGAATTTTACTGCTTTTTGACAATGTAATAGCATTAAAAGATTTATTCAATTCCTTTTATTAGCTCACACTCTCCCTATATATATCTTGTTCAAATTTTCAATCTTTCATAAAATACTTGTTATTCATCCACTCAAGTTTAAAAAATGTATTTGAACTTGTAGTGGATGACACTTGATGTTAATACAGTTTTTCAAATATTAATTCATTAATTAAGTTTAATGAATTAATTTTAGTTTTTTTTTAGATTTAAGTTGCATGCGTCTACCAATAGATGGCGCCAGATAAACTTAAAAAAAATGAATGAAATTTATTTCTAAAGGACTTTCTGCAATAGAGTGAAAAAAAGTAGGAATTGACTTAAAAAAAAAATTTTTTTTTTTTTTATATTACTTGTTTTTCCTTTAGTTTTGGAAAGTGTATAACCATGTGAGCCGAAAAATTGGATTTGATTCACATCCATGAATAGGATATTTTTGCATAATATGGGCTTATTTAACATGGATTTCTTTAAGTTCAAGTTTTTTGTTCATTGCATGGTAGAATAGGGGCTGTTGGGATTTGGCTTCAAAGATTCTTTTAGGTTTTAGGTAGGCTATCTGATAAGCATCTACTACAAAATCTCAAAGCACCTAGTCAAGTCAAGGCATCTACTACAGTATGAAAAGATTTGTATTCAATGATTGTGTCTGGTAACATGGCAAATATTTTTTTCATTATTTCGTGGACGTCTTCATTTTTAGCAACAAGATACAATACCCAAAAGAATATATCAAAGTTTGAATATTCTAGGCATAAATGAAGAATGAAGTATTCTAGATTTTACAAGAATTACTATCACATTCAATAGCCAAGAGAATATATCAAAGCTTTGAAAAATCTAGGCATAAATGAAGAATATGAAGTATTCCAAATACAATAAGAAAGCACTATACAGCTCAATAGGCAAGGAAAATGCCCAAAGTGATAAATATGAAATTTCAAAATGTAAGAAATTGATCAATGCACTACGAGTACTTATAGCCATTGGATATACAAATATTTAAAATCCCAACCCAGAACATGAAATGTGATTCAAAACCATACTACAAAATACTTCAAGCAAAAACCAAATTCTCCAGAAAATTCCTGAAGATTAACTTTATTCATGAAATCATTTCAAGAGTTCAGGGGCCCAAACTACCATTTTTCGCCAAAATTTGCAATGGAGTTTTATTTGCTTGACCCTCATTTTCGGATAAGTTCATGTTCACATATGATAAAAAAAAAAAAAAAAAAAAATAGAGAATGCTAGCAATATGTAATAGGACAATTATCTTTTTTTTTTATTTGAGAAGACGTGTTGGGCTGCACTATAAATAAAAAGTACAAAATGACAAAAGAATGAAAATAAATAAACGAACATATTTTTCATTTTTATTATTTAAATTAGTAGGTAAGATTTATAACTAAAATTTGGATAATATTAGTAGAAATAATAATTGAAATGTTTATAACAATCAAGAGCAAACACATGTATTCTAAGCTGTTCAATCATGCTATGGAATTCAGCTGAGACAAACGAAAATTTTTAAAAACTTTTTATAGACAAAGGACATCATGCAATTTTTAAAAATATTGTAATGACATAATAATTTCAATAATAATACATAATTTTTTAAATTATTGTAAAAGAATTCAGAATTTTTATCAAGCCGGAATGGATCACTGTTTTGCACAGTCCAGGAATATATTCAATGATGCAATTTATAATACTAACAAAAACGCCTCGTTTTCTCCAATATTGTTGTTGATCTAATGCAGCTGGCAATACAGACTGTTAATATAAACAAGGACAGTACTGCTGTTACTCATTTAGCACTACCCAGGAACACGTGTAGCTTGAAGACGGACGTGAGTAACTAACTGCTACGGACGCGAGTAACACTACCCCAAAAACGCTCTACGATCCTATTAGGACCTATGGCTTAAAGTGGATTCCGAACCACTACAAACATCTATAGCACAGGCGGGATTCGAGCTTGATACCGAGTGCCAGAGCTTTAGCCACTCGGCCATCAGGCCTATGTTTCCTCCAATGTAGTTATACAATTTTCTTTTAACACTTAAAAATTATAACTTATTTTGTAATAGGGAACTGTTTTGTTTTTCGAACCAAAATCATGTCATTGACACTGAATATATATTTAATATTAAAAAGCAGAGGGATGCTGTCTTGGCGTTATAATGTTAAAGTAATAATTCGATTTTTTTCCAGCTAGGGGCGATATATAACAAGAACTTTAGTAATATGTATGGCTGAGTGACTAGCGCTACAGATTTCGAGTTCGAATTCCGGCGGTGTCATGGATGTTTAGAGTGGTTTCGAATCCACTGTAAACCGTAGGTCCTGGTCTAATATGACTGGTGCACATAGGATTGGCAACCCTGTCCCGCAAAATGAAAACGTCTCGGGTTTCGGAATCTGCTAGTAGGCAGACGGCCATGGTCCAATATGGACTGTAGTGCCAGATAGTTAGTTAGTTAGTAATATGTAATTAACAAGAGTTACTGTGACTTTATCGTCAAAACATCGATGGATAATTTATTAAAAGATTAGTTTCAATCTATTGATTTAAAATCACAGAAATTCAACAATTGGAGTTAATATTAATTGCTATATCACTTATATTCTTTGTAACCATTGTAAATATCAGAAAATAAAGTTTCAAGCTTACGGAAGAATGACAGTTTTGTTGATTTAAAAATAATTTTCTTATGATTCAAATGATGAACAGAACAATTTGTGACAAGAGCCTCTAAGTGTTTGCCAACTGTATTAGAGAAAAAAAAAAAAAAAAAAACATAAAAAAAAGTTTAAGAAGTACTGCTCTATACGAGGTTATATCTATATTTTTATAATTTTGATATTATCATTTCAAACCGGACCTGAAAACGTAACGCTGCAATTCAGAACTGTCTACCCGTATAGATTTTATAAACGTTTGCACATTAACAAGTAACATAGATTTTTTTTTTTTTAAAGTCAATTCCCACTTTTTTTTTATATTGCAGAAAAGTTCTTTACAAATAAAGTTGAGATGTTGCTTTTACATCTGGCGCCATCTATTGGTAGATACATGCAACTTAAATCTAAAAAAAAACTAAAATTAATTAAATTTAATGAACTAATTAATATTTGAAAACACTGTATTAACATTAATTATAATCCACTACAAGTTAAAAAAAATTTATTTGTACTTGAGTGGATGAATCAAAAGTATTTTATGAACAATTGAAAATTTGAACAAGATATATATAGGGAGAGTGTGAGCTAATAGGAGGAATTGAAAAATATCTGATTTAACTAAAATCGGGCTACATCTGCTAGTCATTTATATGAATATTATTTTTTCGTATCGTGAAAAGTCATGAAATTCTTCCAAATTAAATATAACTGGATCCCCCCATCCCTGCTTTTATAAATGCACAGTGTTTGGTCCCAATAAACCAATCCCAGTAAATCAATGTGTTAAGTATTCAATCGGGTAAAGATTGTTGTATTTTTTATTGCTATCATTAATATTACAGGTATATCATGTCTGTTGTAAAAGTGAAATTGTCATATTCGAATACGATTGTCTTCAATGTATTTCCATCCAATATTTTTATATACTTTTGCCAGACATTTTAAAAATGTATACATTCACATGAGCAAAATTTTATTCTTATTTCAAAAAATCTAATAACACTCTGTGTACCGTGTTTAGTTAATTAACTAATTTTAATTGTTAAGGCCCCTATTAATAATTTATGATAATGTTTTCTTGTAGAAGCTACCTTTGTCAAAATATTCATAGAAGGGGAGCAATGATTTAAAACGAATATTAATGGTTAAAAAATACGTCATTTACAATTTTTTTTTTTTTAACTTTTCCATAAATAGATTAATTTTATTGATTTTGAAAAGAATAGCTATCTTTAATTACATAATAGTTTTGGGTTTATATATCAAAGATTTCAGTACAATAACCAATAGAGAATTTCCAATCAAACTTCATACATTAATAATTCAGTGTATCCTGTACTCTTTTAATTTATTTATAAATACATACCTCCTTCTTTTATTCTACCTTACCATCCCTTTACACAAAGTTTTTATTTGCTATTTAGTAATATTCTTAGGCAAATTAATCAAACATCTCAAATTCATGAAATTTATAGGTTTTTGCGAAAAACAGACGAAAAGAACAAAAGTTGTGGATGTTTGATGGTGAGTGAGGTTAGTGACAATCAACATCGATTCAATTACTAGATTTACGCCTATTACTTCCTTTATATTGATGTTTTCTGCCATTGTTAATATTATTTTCACTTATCCACAATTGGCCCACTAAGTAGCCTAGGTTGGAAATAATTTAATTTGGTGCTCTAATTTTTTTTTTTTTTATTATAATATAGTTTTTAAATTATGAAAAAATAATTGTTTAATCAATTTTTTGTTAAACTGGGATGCGACAGTAGATCTACCTCCCCGTGGTGCACCCTGGTAACGTCCGAGGCGGCTAAAATATATATTAGGGCATGTAGAAATGTTCGAGTAGTGGTCATCTTCGTAGAACTTCGTGTAGTTTGTGTCTTACAATGGAATGCGAGCGGTCTGTCCCAATCTAAGAAAGTTGAGTTTCAATAATCCCTTGCTAGCTACGATGTTAACACTTGCGGGGGCTATGATTGTATGGCGAGCCATCTGCACCAGATTGGCATTTTTGATTGCCCAAATTGCCCGCTCTGTGGGAAAGACGAGATGATGGACAGCTTCCCTCACTTTTCATTGGAATAGACATTTCTCAGGTCTATCACCAATCACGATGAAACAACTCATGGTATAGTCCATATTCAATCTGTAGTTGTTTCGACCTGTAAAGGTTGCACAGACATTCGCTAATTTCCTGAGTCTCATTATACATGATACCGAATATTTGCCTTTAGATTTGAGCGAAAGGTTGTTCTCATTAGTACAAAACTCTAATTGCATGCAATATAACTACCCACAACACTGCTTGCTTGCTGTCAAATTTGAATGATAGTTTGTTATTATGTACTTGTCAAAGAATATGTATTCCACTCTCCTGGGATTGAAATGCCAAAACTCTTCCGGTGAAAAAGGTCTCTCAAAAACTCTTCCGGTGCATATATCATGAATTGAACATCCACTCGTTTGCTGTCATATTGTGATAGAAGGAAACTGAATTTTTTTTCATTTGATTTGAATTTAAAATAGTTTTTCAGTATATGGTGTTAGTATTTGTCTTGAAATTTAATGAAAGTTAGGTAACTTAAAAGAAGAAAAATCTTAGAAATCATCTCATCATAGAAAACTAGTTATCAGTGAAATTCATAATCATAATCATAAAGAAAATGAAAAAATCATAAAACTCTCCACAATTTTGTATAACAGCCGTTTGAAAAAAAGAAACTAGTACATACTGAATAACTTACGCATTGTTGGCTTTCTCCACAAGTAACCTAATTCACGGCGACTTTTGGGGAAGAATTAGAAGTGTACCAAGAAGAACAGATCTATGTGTCGCAACAATTACTGTTAAACAGAGAAATTTGGCTCTGGTGACGAATGGGAGGTTAAGCTGCCGAACGTAACCTCATTACAACTCAGCGAGACAAATAGTGATGTGATGCAATGTGTACTTAACCAATCAGCGGAGAGAAATAAAAATAAAAGTGGCGTCGTAACACAATGGCATACAGAAAGAAACTTCTCTGAAGGAACATTCTTTTTATATTAGTTTAGTTCTGTAGACATTTTATACATTTAATGAATATGGAATAAGGGATGACGATTTTTCTTTGTTTTTTAATGCAATTAAGTGTGCTTCTCGCGTTAATAGATTTTCGATGTAATATGAGAGCTTTATGCTAATTTTATTGCGTGATAAATAGGTGGTTTGGCTGGGTTTCATCAACTTTAATTAATGAATTATTAAAGAATCAGCAACTTTAATTAATTGAATTATTGAACTTTTAATTAATGAATTATAACAAGTATAGGTTATTCTTCAGCACAAACCGAAATCATTTTTAACAATTTTATAAAAGTTATTAAATTTTTTATTTGCAATTTAAATAAAAATCGTTTAGCATTCTTATGACAAACATTTACATTTATTATAATTAAATGTTTTAAAAATTATTTATTGTTCCTTAAAAATTTATATATATATATATATATATATATATTTTTAAAATATAACTAAAAACAACAGCATTTTTTATAATTGTTAAAATCGTTAAATAATGATGTTTCAAAGGACATCGTTAAATAATAGTTTAATAATGGTTTCAAAGGACTTTTTTTATTGAGTTTAAAAGTAAATTGCAAGATTTAGTTTAGTCTTACTAGAGTCAGAGTGACTTGGTGGATGGCACATTGGGTTTCCAAATTAAGGGTCTATGCCGGGTATTGGAATGATACATCACATCAGCGCTACTCATCACTTTTAATAGGGAAAAGCTAACATTCAATCAGCAATGTTTGATTTACTGTTGGTTTGAGCTTAAATATGTCCTACCTACTTGAACGGTAATAAAAGCATAATCAGTTGATAGTTATCAGTTGTTATCAACGACTGAATGGCCGCATCCTTTTCAGATCATCACCCAATGCGACGTTTGGCTGTTAAGGCATCTTAAATCTGTGGTAAATTTGATGACTTTACAAATTTGCATTGAAAGCGAACGTAAAATTGACTGTTATAAAAAATCTTAATACTCTGCAGTTTAGAGCGTCACACACCTGATGGCAAAACTTATGCAGAGAGATGGTCAGCGCACTGACAATTTTTGCACATGGTCCAGGGAATTCACAGCCTTCCTTTGGGCTCGAGGAGGTACAGAGAAGAATGAAAATTCGTATATGAACCCTTAAGAAGTTTCTAAATGTGCATGCAATGTAACAAACTTGCCTTTAATAACTCTGATTTTGTTAGATATATAATGTTGTAGAGGGTAATAATCTCGAGAAAAACTGATGGATATTGAAAAAGAACAGTTCAGTCTTAGAATTA